AGCCAGACTATCGGAAGGGGGGGGGGCATCCCCACCCCACTCCAACCCCCTCATAGCCCCCCCCTTCCGATAGTCCAGCATATCTGACAATCCGGCACCCCCTGGGTCCTAGCGGTGCCGGATTATCGGAAGTTTACTGTATATCTGTTTGAACTGACCTCTGTTCAGGAAGGGGACAGTTGGACTTTGAGAACATATTTTACTTCACGCTTTGGAAATGAACCACAGTTCAGAAATCATGACAAAAGGCAGATAAGACCAGTGTGAATGATCAACCAAATAATCATAGCTAGAGATCGGAGACCAGGAAGTACATGAAACCTAATGAAAATATGTTGTAGTCTCACAGGGAACAAAGAGGGGCACGGAAAAACTGAAAAGTGTTTCAGGAACCTTTTAGAGGGGCTAAAACAGAGGGTCCTAGGAAACAAAGTAAGAGATTCTTTACACAGTCAGGAGTGAGTGACATTAAATCCTACTAGAGGAACTTAAAATATTATTCACCTAGAATAACTCAGACATTTCAAGGTGCTGAATAGTATCTCTGTGTCTGGAAACTGAGGGTATGTTTCCATAACAAGGGAAAAATCTGTATTTGGCCCATATCAGCTGACTTGGACTTGCAAAGCTTTTTCATTGCAGTTAGATTTCCAGGCATGGGCTGGAGCCTGCCTCTAGGACATTGTGGAATGTGTTAGGGAGAATTGTGGGGGCACTTACAGTGAAAATAGGGTTCTAGTCTCTCTCCTCTTTCAGCATGGGCCTCAGGCACATTGCAGGAGTTGATTTTTGCCTGTCCAGTACATGCAAATGTTTATCTACCTCATCAGTGTCTGTGCACATTAACACAGAGCATAAATCAGATCCCTGTGTCTCAGGTGTTTTTGGTTTTCCTTCTTTTCAAAGGTTTCGACCTCATCAAGGTGCTGACCCTGAAAAGGCCCGAGTTGCTGCTCTGATTGACAGACTAATCGCTTATAAAAACAATGATCATGGGTGTTGGGTCAGAGGAGGGGACATTGTCATTCGGAACTCTGGGTAGGTATCCAAGAGCAAACAATTACCTGCTAGAAAAAGTTTTCCTTGACAACGGTATTAAAGCTAGTATAGAATCATAGAGCTGGAAAAAACCTCAGAAGGTCATCAAGTACAGCCCCCCGCTCTAGGCAGGACCAATAGTAGACATATGAGTTGTCAAATCTGGAAAAGTCTATATTAAAATAGGGTTATGAGAGAGAATATCAGAGCTAAAGCATTGAAGCTTTTTGATTCTCATTTCACACTAGTGGGCTAAAAGTAACCATGCAAGTTTACATGGCCTAATAGGAACCAAACAAGGATTTAAAATTTCATAAAAGAGAAAATGTTCTCGGTTGTCTCAGTTTTAAAAATGTTGACTTTTATTATATCTGAGGTTTCTCTGAAGCTATCATATTGCCACTTAACAAAATGATATAGAAATCCTTATATTGATTAAAAATAAAACACCAGAAATTTGTGAGCGTAATAGCTATGGAACTTTTTTGTAAGTTGAATCTTATCTATGTATGCAAGTAAATTCAGTTTGAAGTGAATCTGTGCTCCTACCCTTCGAGAAACTAAAATAAAAATTGACATTTAATGTATGTTAAAGTTTTATATTGTATGTACTTTGAAATTGACTTTGTTCAAAAATAATTTTTTCTTGTAGGTTTGCTGACAATGGAATAGGTTTAACTTTTGCCAGGTAAGTATCTTGGTACTGAATTTCATTGCTATGTTCAGTTTTTATAGCTTTAGTTTTGACAGTGTGTTGCCAAAGAATAGGAAGTAGATTTGATATTGGAGCTATTTAGAAACACAAATGTACAAACATTAGAAGTGTGGAAATAAAGATGAGAGGGCTTACATCAAGGAAATGCCTCATCACTTTTGATCCTAGGTCTGTTTCACCTGGGACTCTGATCAGGTCATGATATTAGATAATTAGATGGCATGACCAGAACTCTAAGAAAGCTTACTACACCCTAGCTTTTCACCTTCTATAACTAAAATGTTCTTAACACTGAAAATACAAGTTTTAAAGAGGAGACTGTAGGACAAGGGGAACAAAAGATTTAATACTTAGAATCAACTGTATGTGTATTAATCAGTTACAATTTCTTTTAAAGCTAGAGTTTTTGAAAACAAGGATTAAATTGTATATTGCAATACGCTGGAAAACAAAAGACTTGGTATGCATTGCTTAGATTGAGGTAAATACTAGTTAGAAGTTGTAGGATGCCTAAACTGTAGTGCTGTATCCATAATCTCAGACTTTGTTTTGACAGTGATGGAAGCTTCCCAAAAGATGAAGGTTCCAGCCAGGAAATATCAGAATCTCTGTTTGTTGGTGAGAGCAGGAATTATGGCTTCCAGGGTGGCCAAAACAAATACTCAGGAACTGGAGGAATAGACAATAAAAATCGCACTCTGCCTAGAAATCGGTAAGTGTTTCAGTGAGTAAAACAAAGATGCTTTTTCCAAAATTTACTTTTTCTGTCTGATTGACAATAGCATTAAAAATTTAGAACTAGCATTACATTGCACGGAGTAACAACACCCCCAAGATTAAACATGGCTACTGGTGAGCCTGAGTAGTTTGGAGACTTGATGACAGAACTCTACCACCTTCTGTTTCTGGGCTGGCAGCTTGAATCCAGCCAAGAATAATAATGACTAAAGGCTGTTTAGTCTGATCTGATGGCAGCTTATGTCAAATTAGTCTGAACATCTCTGTTCTGTTTCCAGTGAACAGATGTTCTCATCTCCAAAGCTATTACCATAGTTGGTGCTCATTTGTACCTTCGTTGACCTTCTGTAATGTCTCAGATGTAGGAATGGTCCTTCCAGTGGCACAGTTAGGCACATCAATGTAACACGGGGGGAAATCTTACACTGATGTTGCCCAGTGTTTGGTGAATAAGAGCAGTCGGTTTCCTGGGCAGTCAGGTTTCCTGGGCAGTCAGTTTAGAAGTGTCACAGTTTAAGGCAACTGCACCTATATTCTCCCTCTATGACCTTTCATGGCACCCACTTGGAGGCCTCCAGCTCCACAGCTGTCTCCTCCTGGATAGAGACCTACTACTTTCCAAGCTGAACAGTTCCTTGTCTTCACTGTTATTCCCAGCAAAAGCGTGTCTGCATAAGCAGGCCTGCTTGCTTTATTACCAGAGACTACTAGCTCCAGAAAGAACAGACAGTTCTTTCTAAGTAAGCATATTTTCTTCTTAAGGTAAAAGCCGAGAACTTTAAAAATAACCAAAATTGTACACGCATGGTAACTAGGTTCAGAGGTCACCCCAACTCTGACCTAGGCTCTGGCACATGATTAATTCTTCAAAACCCACCCAGGGGTCTCCCTGTGGTTTCAAGTTCATGATGTTCGTTGTTCAGGTCTTAGTGCCTTGGTTAGCCAAGGTCCTTCCAATCATTCCCTAAAGATTGTCACCCTCTGTAGACCAAAGATTTTGTCCATTTGATGGGTCCAGTACCAAGCCTATGAGTTAGTTTAATGTTCTTTACCAATAGGCTTTCCCATCTCTGTGGTCTCTAGACAATTATATGTACTTTTAAAGAGGCCATAAATAGGTAATCAGCCGGCCACTGGGTCCCCTCTCTTAGGATGAAGCTTCAAAGGACTGGTAACTGGAGGGTTACATTAACATACCCCCTTCTTATGAGTGCATGCAACCTCACAATAACTCAAAAGCAATTATATTTTTAATACAATGGAGCCCACAAGTATTAAAGTTAATTCAATTTGGTTTGTCCAGCATATTTCAGAAAACTGCCAGCTGTTATGAACAGTACTATACAAGTTTCTTTCTACCTAGTCCAAAATAAACCATCAGCACAAAACAAATTGTGGGGTGATTTACTGTGTGAAAACTGTGTTATAATTTGCCTGCAAACAGTAATGGGGTTTAAAAAAAAAACTGGGAGTCCTTTACTAATAGGCTTTGTCTACACTGCCAGTTTTGCAGCAGAAAATACACTAATGAGGAACTCATTAGCATGAGTCACGACATCATTAGCATATTTTCTGCAGTGTAGCCACTTCCGTTTTGCACAAAAAACCCTTTTGCGCAAGATCCTTATGCCTCCTGGAGAGTCCCTCATTAGCACATTTTCTGATGCAAAACTGGCAGTGTAGACACAGCCATAGTGATTATGACAGTTTTTCATTTATTAGTTTGGGTAAAAGCATTTTGATATGTACATTGTGGGGTTTTTTCTTCTCTTTCCTTTTTGAATCTCTCATTTTATGGGAGGTAAAAGATCTCAAATGGAGAGATCCACCTTTTTAAAAGAGTATGTGGCATAGGCTGTACTTGCTGTTGCCATTGATTGCCAGCCTTTTAATTGCTATTGCTTATCTAAAAAATTGTGAAACTTCATAGTGAAATGTTAGTGACAAGAAAATAGAATACAAAAATTAAAACTCCTCCTATTGCATATTATCAGTTGATTTTGCTATGCTTTTAAGTAACTAATTGAATTGTGTCTTCAAATGCATGTTTCTATATGCAGTATCATGAATTGTAACGCTTAGGCATTACAAGAGCAGTAAGTCCAATGGGGTTTGAAACAATTGGGAAGGGGGGAAATGAGTCTGTCTGGGGGGATTTTGAGTGGCTTGTTTT